TTTCAACTTATATGCAGAACAGGTTATCCGGGAGGCTGGGCTCTATGAGAAGAAATGTGGGGTCAAGATTGCTGGACGATTTATCAACAATCTGCATTATGCAGATGACACAACCCTGCTTGCTGAAATTCACGAGGACCTGAAGCACCTGCTGCAGAGTGTCAAGGACTGCAGCCTTCAATATGGACTGAGGCTCAATGTCAAGAAGACAAAGATTCTCACCACTGGACCAATCGGCAGCATCAGGATGGATGGTGAAGAGATTGAGATTGTATACAGCTTTAGTTTGCTTGGCTCCACAGTCAACACTCTTGGCACCAGTAGCCAGGAAATTAAAAGGCATATTGCGATGGGAAAGTCTGCTATTAGGGACCTCTCCAAAGTACTGAAGAGTAATGGTGTCACTCTGGAGACTAAGGTGTGTCTGATACAGTCCGTGGTCTTTGCAATCACCTGTTATGCATCAGAGAGTTGGACAATGACCAAGGAGGATAGAAGGAGAATTGATGCCTTTGAGCTGTGGTGCTGGAGAAGAGTATTGAGAATACCATGGACTGCTAGGAAAACAAACAGATTTGTCCTGTAAAGGGTTAAACCGGGTGGCTTCTTGGAGGCAAGGATTCTGAGGCTCCGTCTAACATATTTTGGACATGTTGTGAGGAAAGACTAGTCCTTAGAGAGGGACATCATGCTTGAGAGGGTGGAGGGACAGCGCAGGAGAGGAAGGCCCTCTATGAGGTGGATTGATTCAGTGATTGGGATAATTGGGATGGGAGTGTCAGAGACGGTGCGATTGGCACAGGACAGAGCGGTGCGATTGGCACAGGACAGAGCGGTGCGATTGGCACAGGACAGAGCGGAGTTTAGGGCTGTTGTACATAGGGTCGCTATGAGTCGTAGGCGACTCCACGGCACATAACAACATAACAATGTATCTATGGTTTTTGCAATCACTTGTTATGCATCAGAGAGTTGAACAATGACTAGGGAGGATAGAAGGACAATTGATGCCTTTGAGCTGTGGTGCTGGATAAGAGTATTGAATGTACCATGGACTGCCAAGAAAACAGATTCAGCCTGGAAAGGGTTAAACCAGGCTGCTCCTTGGAGGCAAGGATTCTGGGGCTTCGTCTGACATGCTTTGGACATGTTGTAAGGAGAAACCGGTCCTTGGAGAGGGACATCATGCGTGGGAAAGTGGAGGGACGGTGCAAGTTATTATGTCTAATAATCTACTCTTCTAACTATCTATTAATAAGGACCTTGTTGACAATTTCAGCTTGCTTAGCTTTACAATCAACACTCTTGGTACCAGCAGCTAGGGAATTAAAAGACTAATTGCATTGGGAACGTCTGCTGTCAGAGACTTGCTATGTGTCAGAGAGCTGGACAATGACTAGGGATGGTAGAAGGAGACTTGATGCCTTTGAGATTTGGTGCAGGAGTGGACTGCTAAGAGAAGAAACGGGTTCATCCTGAGAGGGTGAAACCAGGCTGCTCCTTGGAGATAAGGATTCTAAAGCTCTGTCTGACATACTCTGGACATGTTGCAAGGAGGGATCAGTCCTTGTAGAGGGACGTCGTGGCTTGGGATGGTATAGGGACTGTGCAAGAGAGGAAGACCCTTGATGAGATGGACTGATTCTCTCACTGGGATAAGGGGGTAGGCATGCTGGAGACAATAAGATTGGCAAGAGAGCAGGGTTTAGCGTTGTTGTACATAGGGTAGCTATGGATCACAGGCAACTTGAGAGCACATAACAACTAAAAAGTCTGTTTTCTATTATTTACTAACAGTCAAAATAAAGTCATATTAGCCTTTGAATATAAGCCTGTTGCACTAAAAAGATGAATCCTTGAATCATTCCAATACATACTGACACTGCTCAAAATTCACTTACTTTCACAAAGCCTCTACTGGTCCACTTGACCCTATAACAAGGCTTTGAACTGGTTCATTCTGGTTATACCTCCTGCTGAAAATTTATATTTCTAGCCTCGAGAACAGAATCAGAATCTCAAATTTAACATCTCCAGATGAGTTTTTATTGCACATAAGAATTCCCCAGGATTTGAAAGAATTGCTTAAAGAGTTTTAGTATTTGGGATAGAAATATGGTAATCCCCCCTCTGGTGCTTTACTGCCTCTGAAAACCAGCTCAGATGTCAACTATGGTAAGGTTCCAACTCAACAGCAAAGACTTTAGTTGAATTTCAGTAGGTCTTTTTTTTTTTTTTTACATTTAGACGGGGGTGGGGAGCAAGGAAGATAGAATAGAGAAACGTTATCAGAAACATCAGAACATCCAGAATTCAGTTGCTTTTTGCAAGCTGTGTGAATGTGAGAAATTATTTTTAAGTTTTCTGGGTTCACTTTCCTCAATTATTAAATAGACTACATAGAACATCTTCTAGTGCTTCCTCACAAACCCTCATAAGCCTCAAATGAAACAAGTACGGAGACCCGGAGAAGGAAGAAATCAGCAGCACTGCCTCCGTTTTCATAGACATGCATGTTTTCTACCTATGACAGTGTACAGTCATCACTTTTCTGCTCTATTTAGAAGGCAAGATTTGTGTTTTCCTACTTGACATGTCAAAATCTTTCTTTTCTGACAGACAGAAGCTTGCAGGGATTCTGACATTCACAGATTTTATGTGAAAGAAGTTTTTTGGTTTTGTTTTTGGAGTGTTTGTTTGTTTGTTTGAGTTTTCTACTAGTGTGCAAGGAGCTGGAGTCCGAAAATCAAAAGGGTTGAACTCGCTCAGCAATTTTTAAACCAAAGGTACTGAAAAACAAATTCAAACCTCAAATTGCAATACTTAAGGATGCTTTGGGCAGAATATTAAATGATCCAGGAAGCATTAGAAGAAGACGGAAAGAGTACACAGAGTCATTGTACCAAAAAGAATTGATGGACACAGAAGAATTTCATGAAACAACATATGAGGAATAGCCTCTGGTGATGAAAGAAGTTCAAGCTGCTCTGAATGAATTGGCAACAAACAAGGCCCCAGGAATTAATGGCATACCGATTGACATATTTCAACAGACACTGTCCTGAATGTGCTCACCCAACTGTGCCAAGAAATCTGGAAGACAATCACCTGGCCAACTGATTGGAAGAGATATATATTTGTTCCCATTCCAAAGAAAGGTGATCTGACAGAGTGTGGAAATCACATGCAAGTGGGATGCTGCTGAAGATTATCCAAAACGACTGGAACAGCATATTAAGAGAGAACTGCCTAAAGTGCAGGCTGAGTTTAGAAGAGGCAGTAGTACTTATAGCTAATGTTAGATGGAACTTAGCTGAAAGAGGAGAGTACCGGAGCAATGTCCATCTGTGCTTTATTCACTGTACAAAGGTGTGAGCATCCTAAGGAGAATTTCATGTTAATGTTTTCTTTTTTTCCCTGACAAATTGAGCCTCATTTAATAGGACTACCAAGAGAACAAAGAGGTCTGTACTGGAAATGGTGAGGCCAGGATGTTCCTTGGAGGCCAGGATTTTAACCAACTTCTCCAAAGCCATTTTTCGGAAATGCTGTTCATCCCATCAAAGGGATCCCCAGACAGCACAGCAGAAACAAAACCAAGAAACTTCTCTTAAGTAATAGTAATGGAATAATACGATTGCTGCCTCCAACTGTGATGTTTATATGATTTCAAACTGTAATTTACTGTGAATGATAATTTTAGATAAGAAAGAACTGGGGTTTTGTCATTCTAGGGACATAACTTTACCAAGTGTTCATTGTTTGAGAATGGATTCACTTTGATTTTTTACGTTCTCAGCTGCAATAAAATCAAGTGCAGGGTGGGAAATCCTTTAACAAACTTTGTAAAAATAGTTATCTTCCTAAACTTTGTAGTTGCATAAACCTTTTAAAGGCACCATTTCACCGCTGCTTGAACTTTCCTGAGGAAGAGTCAATCAGCTGAACTACTTCCACATCTGCTATTTCCATTCTAAACAGAAATATTACAGACCTTAGGGTTTCCAAGCCACCCACCTTTTCAAGTAAAGACATGCATCAAGAGTAATGGAGGCTTATAATTTCTCGTTAGACTATAATGTTCTTGGTTTTCCCTTTGATTCACTTGGAAACCAAATTGACTCTCCTTAAATTGCAGTAGTGTTTCTCTCAACTTGCCCTCGGCATCACACCTGAACCTCACTTCAGAAAGATTTTTGGCTAGAGTATTTTTTATTTTGGAATTCTAGACTCTAGCAGGAAGTTTCATGCAACACTGAGAAAGAGGCAAAGTTCAGAGATGATCTCAGGATGACATTTGCCAAATTTCTTAACTCTGTAGTGGTGAAGTTTGAAGCAGGTCTGGTTCCTCCTCCTGTTTCTGAAAAAATTTCCTGCTCCCATTTGTGCAAATGTATATCAGTTAACTGTTCCCTCTCTGTACCCAGTGGCAACAATCTACTATGAAAAACAAATTAGATTATTCTCTTTCCCAAGATGGGTTAAAGAACCTGCTTCCATATAAAGTATTTGGAAACAGAAGTATTCATGCAAACTACCAGATTTAAGATTTAGGTCATTTCTTCTGACACTAGATTTATCTACTAAGGTTCTGTTATTTCACCATGCTCATGGTGCTCTTTAAAAAAAACAAAACAAAACCAAAAATACCAAACACTAAAAATTCTCACTGGCTTGACTTTTTGCAAATAAATTTCTCTAGTTAAAAACTTATCTCTGTAATATCTATCCCCTAGACTGTACTCAAGTTAATAGAACTGCTTAATAAAACTCACTGTGCCCCTGCAGGACTCTTCATCCAGAAGAAAATCTTTTTCACTTGCAAAATGTTAAGACATGAGTTTATGAAAAGTTGTCTGATAGGATTACGCTCACCATTCAAACAAGACACAAACCTTGGACCTGCATTTCCAATGGTTTTTGATGAAAGTTTACTTAAATGGACCAGCAACGCTTTAAGGAAATATTTTCATAAAGCAGAAACTGTAACTTGCACTAACCTTAGTGTGCTGAATCTTGATGTTGGTTAGGGGGGCAGGTATTTTCGGCATGCCTGAGGACGACATCTCTGGTAGAACTTCAGGAATACAGGTGACAGACTCACTGATCTGGTTCAGCTTGCTGCAGCTCTTGGCTTTATCTCTTCCTTTTTATCTGAAAGGGCTAGGGTTGATTTGCATACTGTGATGTAACTGGATGAACAAAGTTAGAACTGAAAGAAAAGTCTATCACTTATTTGTAAGGCCTAGGACAGGAAGAATGACTTTTAACTTAAGCTGCACTGAAGCTGCATCTGGAGATGGTGAACTATCTACAGAGGAATTCGTTGACAAAGCTAAAATCGCATCAGCGCTTAGGATTTGGGACACAGCTGCTCGGGCCTCCAAGACTAGTTGTTATTATTATTTATTATTATTATTATTATTATTATTATTATTATTATTATTATTTGGTTATTGCCTTCTCATGCCGCTATGAAACTTTCTATTTTCTGACTTGCTGGAATCAGAGACCAAAAGAATGGAAAAAAAACCTCACTTTAATCGGCACTTGTCTCCAACAGAAGGTGAAGAACATACGACCTCCGCCAAGATGCTTGTTTAGAGCAGAAAACCTTTCCAGTTTCTGCTCTAAGTGAGGCCTGAAGAAATAACCCAAAACTATTGATTTTTATTTTTTAGTGCTCCAGAAGCATACTGACTATGATTTCAGAAGGCATATTGTTTTTAATTTGTAGTTTATTTTAGAAAAGAGCTACCAGTAAAAGATGTAGAGGCTTCATAAGTGTTCCCTCAGGGAATCCCCCCGATTCCCCAGTCCCTGCCATCAAGAAACAGTATACTGTAAACATCTGCTACAGCTCCACTTCAGCTTGTAGAGTGTCTGCGTTTACCACTACTGAGATAGGCAATTGCACAAAGACTGCCTTCAAGCAGGAGTTCCAGATTACTCAAATTCTTAACATAAGTATTTAAGCCTGGGAATATTAAAGATAGGATACTTTTTAATTGTGATTCTCCAACTTTTAAGTACAACACTTTTTCTTGATGGAAACTAATAAAAGTCGCAATGGAAACAAGAGTAATATACCACCTCCCAACTTCCAGACACCTTCAGTCACTGTGTCGATTCATCTGAGGGTCCCCCCCTCCTCTGACCTTCCTCTTTTTCAAGTGTGATGCAGTTTGCCAGGGACTGGATCATCCTGACAATGTTATGTACAGGAGCCTGTTTGTCCTCTGAAGTCCCATTTACAGATGGGAGAAGGAGAAGGAAGTTACTCAAACTCCAACTCACAGAGCTAATTAGTACAGGAATTTAATCTAAGGCCAATCTGACACCAAAACTCTGACTCTGTTTTCTATTTATTCTCCTGCCTTCTTCTCCATAAATTTCCAAATAAGGTTTTCTAAGTTAATAGAAACACTCAAAAAGCTTATGATAAACCTTTTATTCATCTAACCAAGGGGTCAACAAACTTTTTCTGAAAAGGAAAGTTAGTAAATTATTTTCCTTATGATGAGTTAAATGGTTTCGGTAGCTGTAATACAAATGGAATTCCAGCCAATAGGTAAATGACTGGGCGTAGGCATGTTCTGATAAAAATGTAATTGAAAAAGCAGATGTCAGGCCATTTTATTCCACAGCTTGTAGTTTGCCAACTCCCTAGACGCTAAAAGAATGTCAATTCAAGTTTCTTGATTCTCTGTGTCTCAATCATGAAGACTAGTTAGAAACTACTACGAGATTTTTGCCTATCGACTCCATCTCTCAGAAAATCCAAACTTTTTTTTTTCTTTAAAAATGTGTTGAAAGTGATATATGATAGGGTATTAGGATTATCACAAGAGTCCAGAATGAAGGTTGCATAGTGGAGTGTACTCGGGGCTGGGTGGGGGCCGGGGATTGTACACCAATGAAGGAATTTTACTTCTCAAAGAGAAGAGCGAACTGGGGAAGAGGGGTGGGCAGGGAGAAAAGTGCAACAATGAATGAATGGAAATCCAAAATCTCTGTAAATGCTCATTAACATTAATAAAATAATTTTTTAAATGTGTGTTCATTTCAGGTAATCTTTTTTTGTTTATTTGTTTAAAGTTTAAAGATTATTTAAGGGCAATAGTTTCAAAGGTACAGTCACGCTTTAATATTCCAAAAGTGTGGAATCTTTGAGAGTTGAAAATTCTATTCTACATTTTCCTCGTTGATTAAGATTCTTCTACAGAATCTTTGATCAAAATATTCAGTAATGGTCACCAGTACTGATCCTGACTTGTTCCACTTCTTCCTCCTGTTCCTGGCTGTTTTCTCTGTGGTTCCATGTGAATAGACACTAATCATTGAGCTTACAACTGTTTTAAGACTCCAGGCATGATATAATGAAGTAGGAGATAAAACTGAATCATAAACATGCTATTAGGACGATTAACTGGGCTGTCCCATAAACTCATGACCTTCCATTTCTAAACCAAGAAATCAAATGCCATGAGGTGTTTGAGTCCATATAAGCAGCCTCAGCAGCTCCTCTTTTTTATGTTGTTTTATTACTGTTCTAGATATACCTACCACACAACATTTATCAATTTGCTGTGCGCATATGTACAGCTTGTTGGCAATTACAGTAAAAAGCTGTACGGCTTCACACTTCCTCACTGCAATTTTTCTCATATCTTTGATCCTCCTTTTCCCTCCCACCTGCCTCTGATAACTATTAAAAATCTTTGATCTCTGTATATTTGCCTCTTATTGTACTGTTATGGAAGTGAGGTTAAACAATGTTTGTGCTTTTATGATGAACCCATTTCACTCAGCATAATATTGAGTAATAGGTACAATTACACAAAGACTGTTACACAACCTGTAGAGTGCTTCTCCAGCCACATCCAGACAGCTGTACTTTATTCTCTTCACAGTTTCATTGTTGCTAGTTGGTAAAAAAGAAACTCCAGTGTTTCCATGCCCAGGCAGTGACAGTGCAAGACTTCACTATACAATTGACATGTCATCTCGCTCTTTTAGCTTCATCTTTGATCATATTGTTAGTTGCTGTAAAGTTGGAACTGACCCAAACATAACTTGCCATTGGGTTTTCAAAGACAGTAAATCACACCAGAAAAAAAGTGCCCATCTTTCTCCTGTTGACGTATTTGAACTATGTGCCTTTGAGATTGCAATGTAGTTTCTTACCACTAGGCCACCAGACTTCCCCAATTAAATAAGGACAAGACACTTAATCACAAGCATTATTGAGTATAATCAAAAGGAGATACCTCAATGACACTTGCCCATTTTTATTTCAGTAAATACTTAAAAAGCATGTTGATAGTTCAGCCCTGTGATTAGCGGACCCACAGTTCTTCAGGCTTAGCAAATTTGCAGTGCATGTTTTTTCTGCTCCCAAACCTTCTGAGATTTCATTTTGAAAGTAAGCATCACCCTGATCTTACAGCTTTGTTTATGGAAGAATATGTTCTCAGGAAAGTTTATGTGAATTAAAGGCTTTAGCCTGTGACTGCCTTCTTTCCTTTGCAGGGGAAAAGATGGCTTTGGTGAGAGCTCGGGTTCAAGGAAGTCTACATCGAGATTTGATTCAGAGTTGTATCATTTTATTGTACCCTAGTGTTAACTAGAGGGAAAGTGCTGGCCCTTGAACTTGATGTAACACACGGCTGGTACAAATAATTAACCTGCTTCACTGCTCACTGAATGGGCAGAGGTTGATGTCCACCCGGAGGCACCTTCAGAGAGATGTCTGTCTAATCTACTTCTGACAAACCAGCCATTGAAGACCCTCTGGAGCCCAGCCCAGACCTTAGACACACATGGAGTTGCCAGGAGCTGGAACTAACTTGAATAAGTGATTGATTAACTAAGAGAGGGATGTTTAATCTTTCTTTCCTTCTTTAAGGCAAGCTAAATTGCACAATACACACAAATACATGTGTATATGGAAATCAATATATTTAGATGCAGAGGTAGGTAAATGTCTATTTATTTGCACAGAGGTATGAGTCATTTGATTTTTTGGACTGTGAGCACTGCACTTCATATAGTTGTTGTTAGGTGTCATTAAGTCACTTGCAACTCACAGCAACCCTATGTACAACAGTTCTGATCCCTGCTCTTTCCTCATCGTCTCCGACACACCTAGCCCCATTACCCCAGTCACTGAGTCAATCCATCTCATCAAATAAATAAAAAAAAAAAAAATCTATCTCATCAAGGGTCTTCCTTTACTATGCTGTCCCTCCACCCTCCCAAGCATGATGTCCTTCTCCAAGGACTCCTTGCAACATGCCCAAAGTATATATGTCAGATGGAGCTTCAGAATCCTTACCTGGTTTCACCCCTTCCAGAATGAAAGTGTTTATTCTCCTAGCTGTCCATGGTATATTCAATACTCTTCTCCAGCACCTCAACTCAAAGATGATAATTCTCCTGCTACCATTCCTAGTCATTGCCCAGCTTTCCTATGCATAGCTAGTAATTGCAAAATTGTGGCTTGGATCAGGCGCACCTTAGTCTCCAGACTGACTTCATTGTTTTTCTGTGTTCTGGCTAGATACATGTTTTTATATATGTTGTTGTTGTTGTTATGTGCCATCGAGTCGTCTGCGACTCATAGCGACCCTATGTACAACAACCCTAAACCGTGCTCTATCCTGTGCCAATCTCATTGCCTCTCACAAACCCATCCCGAGTACCCAAGTCAGTGAATCAACCCACCTCGTAGAGGGTCTTCCCCTCCTGCGCTGTCCCTCCACTATACCCAGCATGATGTCCCTCTCTAAAGACCCGTGTCTCCTTACAACATGTCCAAAGTATGTCAGATGAAGCCCCAGAATCCTTGCCTCCAAGGAGCAGCCTGGTTTAATCCTCTCTATGATGAATCTGTTTGTTTTCTTGGCAGTCCATGGTACATTCAATACTCTTCTCCAGCACCACAGCTCAAAGGCGTCAATTCTCCTTCTATCCTCCCTAGTCATTGTCCAACTCTCTGATGCATAACAAGTGATTGTAAAAACCATGGCCTGTATCAGGCGGACCTTAGACTCCAGAGAGACACTGTTGCTCTTCAGTATTTTGGAGA